AGCTAGAAGAAAAAAAATTGACAAAAAGTTCTTGAATGTAAAATCTCAAGGAGTTTGGTAAACTTTTGAAAACCATAGAAAAATAATTTGAGTATAAATCAAGACAATTAAAACCAATCACTACGAAGTAGACCAATCAAAGGCCATTTCTATATTTTTTTCTTAGACAGATGTTTATGGTGATCGACAGACTTCCGGTGAAAATGAACGACTACTATGTAAATATAGAGAAAGAACTAGCGAAACATTTCTAACTGCTAATGGTTTTGGAAGCCGTAAAAACAGTGACCGAGTCAATGGTCTTTGAAAACAAACCAGTGACAAGTGGCTATTCGATGTTGGTGAGACCATTTCAAACAATCTATCAGCTAAAAGTTACGTCGCACGCATATTTGTTCGTTGTTCACACAATTTTTTGCAAAATTTTATTGACATGGTTTTCGATATCCTGGACATGAAATCCTGAAGTCATACCTTGAAATTAGATACAAGTATATTGATATTGAAAAACGTTTCCACTATGGTTATTGTTTGGATTTAGAACGGCATTTTTTGTATTATTTTGTTTTTGATTAGCTGAGTGAAGCGCCCATAATTGGTTTTTGTTCCGACCATTTGAAAAATGGGGAGAATTTTTGATTCGAGAGCGTTTTAGTTCTTTTGTCTTTTTTCGTTTTCCACGCAAGATCAGTGTGACAAATAATTATCGGAGAGAGTTGAGTGATAGATCTCTTGGAACTGGCGTATTCATTTACACTAGCAAAGCTTGTGTTATAGTATGATTTATCTTTTTTTTACATGTAAGTCGCAAATATTGTTGCGACGCAAATATTTTTGCGACAAATTGTGTTCATTTTGAAAGTGTTCTTTTTGATCAATAACCTGCTATTAAGTACAGCCAATGCTAAGGATAACACAGACTATTATATTGCAAATAGCACTTTAGCTTCAAGGTATCATGGATCTGTAGCGTAGTGGTAGGGAAGGAGATCCGCAACAAAATAAGAGGGTTCAGACCTGGGCAGTGTTGGATGTTTTTCGTGAACTTTTTCGTATACTAGCTAAAATGCGTCCGCCTTATAAACTGAGGCATATTAGTCGGTAAATTTCTTTTTTTTTCAAATTGACTGGTACTGCTAATGCGTCATAATTGGCTTGCGTCACCTAGCAATTATGTGGACTCATAATTGGCGTGCGTCACTTAAGAAATTTTGTAGACTCAAAGTTTTACTCATTCAGTTTTTCCCCAGTAGCGTTATCGGTCATTTTTTCGCTTGTGTATGCAAAGTGCAACTTCGCCTGTGTTTTGTATATTATAATAGTTTTTGACTCTTGATAAAAAGTTTTTCAGCTTCAACAAAGTTTTTACTAATTTTTTTTCAGATCTCGTTCTCATTAGAAATGTTTCAATTTTTCATCTTTTTGCAGGTATTTAACGATGTCGATTCTAACTGTCAGCGCCCTGATCGGAACTTGTCTCTTTTTCCTTGCTAAACAACCCTACACATCAGAAAAGCTATCTCATCGCATCTCAAAAGGAGCCACGACTAGTGTACAAACAGTCACTGAAACGATTCGACTACTCTCTGATTTCAAAGCGATCTTACTCATAGTTCCGTATCTTTACACGGGTGTTAATCAGGTTAGATGGAAACTTACCCTACTGAGATTTTTTATCTTAATACAGGTACAAGTATGTTAGTTGGGTCCCTAAGGTGTAGATGGGTCCCTGAAAAAAATGAAGCTATTTATAGAAATGGGTCTGTAGCTATTTCGGAATTTGCTTGTAATACATTTGCTTTCCTCCATTTTTGAGAATGACGGTGCCCCTGAATGCCGGGACCCATTTTTCAAACTTGGTTTGCTTAGGGACTCAACTCACATACTTGTTATCCCAATAAAAAACCTTCCTTTCAACATTGCTTTCCTTTATGTTCACTCTACAGGATAATCGGTCAATGAAAATTTGGATATCGTAGGAAAACAGCACATATTATAACATGGAATAAGTTTCCGTGTAAACTGCTTCCTGATAAAAACAAGAATAGCAAACGAAGTTTTTCGTGACAGTATGGATTAACTAAGAGCATCGTTTTTCATGACATAGGGTACGGCAGTAGTAGAGTTGATTGTCCTTTTTTTCTTTCAGAGCTTCTTCATGGGCATTTACGGAGCGTGTCTAGGTCAAACTGGATACTTTGGGAGAGACGCCTACTGGCTCGCAGGAATATCTGGCATTTTCATCGGAATTGGCCAAATTGTGGCCGCTTTGTTTCGCATTCTCTTCAGCAGACTCGATTTTTATCGCCACCGGAGCCAGAATTATTTCTTTAAACTTATTTACATCTTTATTGCAGTTTCAGTTTCGTCTTTATGCAGTTTGTTGATATTTTTATTTCTACCAGATAAATCGCCAATCGGGAAAACAGACGAACAGTCCATTTTCTTGCCGAATAAAATCATTGCAATCTTGTGTTCGTTTATGCTTGGATTCGCAGACTGCCTGTTTCAAACGGAGATATTGAACGTGATTGGAGCAAAATTCAATAAATCTACTCCAAGTGCGATGGCGATGTATTCGTTCTTTCAGGCGATAGGCGGAGTGTTTGTGTTCTTCTACACAAATCATCTCTCGTTCGGTCTTCGTATACAGGTCAGTATTGATGAGCAGGTCAAAATCTGGTTAAATTTTTAAGCTTTTGAAGTTTTTCATTAATATTATCAAAAGCGGATTCAGGGATTCGACCCCAATGGTCCTCCTTTGGTACTATTTTAAGAAATTGGTTGACCCTAAATTTTTTAAAGGCGTAAGTATAAACGTATTTTTAGGCGCCAATATAAACTAATTTTTACGCAATTTTGTGGTCAATTTTTTTCCAAGTGTCGAAAATTGTCTTTTTTGGTCTGTTTTTTTTTCAAAAATTTTGCAGAAAGTTTTGGTCAAAGTAAGATCTTTATAATGATCTGAGAGAACTCAGAAATCAATTAAGTCGACCTAAAGAAAGAAGTCGGCAAAACTTTTTTGAAAATTGAAGATGCGGCTAATTGAAGATGCAAAAAATTAAACCTTTTTGAATTGCCTACTCTGTTAAAAGGAAGGCAAGTTTCACTATCGATCAGCAAAAGTGTAAAGATCACGAAAAAAGTGATCGACTATGTCGAAAGGGAATTGATTTAAGTTTTCTCAGCGGAATGAAAAAAGTTACCTAATGATCCAATTTGCACAAAATGGGTTTATTTTATTAAAAAAGTATCAAGCATAATTTTTTTGAAATTCGAAGAGCTTTACGGGCATATACTTGCTTCTTTGAACTTCAAATTTATTTTTCAAATGAGTCAGTTCTTTTTTTGTTTTCTTGCGGTTATTGACACTTCCGTTTGTCACTTCCGCTCATTTCACGTAATTTAGTTTTTTTGTTAAGTTTTGATTCGAAAATCCTACATTTTAATTGAAAAAAAATGAACTCGAACGTAAAAACTTCGTTTGAAACTTTTAATTTTACTAGATGAATGCTTTTATACGAAATAGGTTAATTTTGTTCCAGTCATCTAAGTCCTTGGGACTCCAATGCGTTTTTTTCCAAGCGAATCCAGATCTACTAATAAACATCGAATGGGGTCAAGTGATTTTAACATGATTGATAGATTTGGTTCTTACTTGTACAGTAGCTGGCTACTGTTGTTTTGGTTGTAGCTGATTCACGCACGTAATCATCTTTGTTTAGGTGTCAATCATGGCGACCGGCTGCTTTTTATCACTCATAGTGTTCTGCATTATTGCGAAATGCAAGAATGAAGAAACAGAGGAAGAGATGAAAGAAAAGGGAATTGAGTTCACTGAAAATTCCAGTCTGAACAACTTATGGAAACAGTTGAACTCTAGTGATGAACAAAAAGATGAATTTGACGAAGGAAAATTGCCACAAGATAATTTTAAACAAAATAATATTCTCTCGTTTGATTGTTGAAATTCAATGTTATCTTTCTTAGTTTTGAACATCACAGATTAAGTCTTTAATATTTTGCCTCCGAGATTGGTTTCTGACGTCGGATTATTCAAGTTCAAGAAGTATAATAAAACAAATCGATTAAACACTTAAAAACTACATTTGGCCAATGAATTGTCAACGATTAGTCGAAAAATTATGAAGATGCCATCAAAGCGACCGCAGTCTTATGGAGTCGATCCATACAACTCCTGCATTTACGTCAAAACAATAGGCTGTTTGGGTTTACACTGTGTTTGCAAGAAAGCGAGTGCTTAAGTTTCTCACTAACAAAAGAAGGTACAAGTGTGAAAGAAGGGTCCACTTAAAAACCGAATGTGACAAAGGGGAGCAAATCACTAATTCTAAGCAAATGTAGCTATTAGTTAAAACTACGGAGGCCGATCGATCGTTTTCAAGACTTTTTCTCAAACGCCTGCATCATTCGCGCTAAATTATTTGAGGCTTTGATTGATATCACCGAGACCATAAATTGAACATTTTTTAAGCACTGTATTTGTATTTGGGACCCTGCTAGTTTCTCCGGACCTGACTATCACATTTAAACTCAAATGAAATAGCTAAATATTTTACTAGACCAGTTTTTTCCCCAAACAAGTCGCTAATTGTTCCGACTTTCGATACGAAAGTAACGGAATATTTGTGCTCGGGGTGGGTTTTTTTCTTCAGACAAAGTTCGACTTTTTAACTAGCCATTTTTGACGGATTTTTTTTTATATCATTCGAAAGGTATTGTTGTCTTGAGCTCAAATTTGAAAAGATATTTCACCTGTGATCATTTTTCGTAAAGTTAAGGGGGTTTAAAGATTGCCATTTTGGCCAATTTGGGACAATTAACGCGCGATATATTTCGCGCTATTAACGCGTAAGCGGAGAGTTAATCCGTCTTAAAATCGTTCCAAATTAGTTAAAAGAAGCTTATTTGCTATAATTGGTTTGTTACAAGGAGCGAAATCTATCCTTTTTGTGTGGCAGGTGGGGGCATGATTTTCATTAAAAAATTTCACATTTTAGAAAAAAAAAAAATTTCTTTTGTTTTATTTCATTGAATTTTTTGAATGTTATTACTGCTCCATAAACCTTAAAAGGCAGTCGGAACATTCAGGGCTTCCCCCTGATAGGAGCAGTCTTGTTCATATTTACTTTTTGTTCCGACGTTCATAACGAAAGTACCGGAATGTTTGTGCTCCGGAGCTTTTTTTTCCAGACAAATGTCGACTTGTTAACTAGCCATTTTTGACGGAATTTTTTTTAATCATTCCAACGGTATTCTTGTCGTGAGTTTAAATTTGAAAAGATGTTTGAAAAGATATTTCTCCGTGATCATTTTTCGTAAGGTTAAGGGGGTTTAAAGATTGCCATTTTGGCCAATTTGGGACAATTAACGCGCGATATATTTCGCGCTATTAACGCGTAAGCGGAGAGTTAATCCGTCTTAAAATCGTTCCAAATTAGTTAAAAGAAGCTTATTTGCCATAATTGGTTTGTTACAAGGAGCAAAATCTATCCTTTTTATATGGCAAGTGGGGGCATGATTTTCATGAAAAAATTTCACATTTTAGAAAAAAAATCTTTCTTTTGTTTTATTTCATTGAATTTTTTGAATGTTATTACTGCTCCATAAACCTTAAATGGCAGTCGGAACATTCAGGGCTTCACCCTGATAGGAGCAGTCTTGTTCATATTTACTTTTTGTTCCGACGTTCATAACGAAAGTACCGGAATGTTTGTGCTCCGGAGCTTTTTTTTCCAGACAAATGTCGACTTGTTAACTAGCCGTTTTTGACGGATTTTTTTTCAATCATTCGAAACTTATTCTTGTCGTGAGTTTAAATTTGAAAAGATGTTTGACATGTCAGTTTTTTTCGTAAAGTTATGGGGGATTGAAGATTGCCATTTTGGGCAACTTGGGACAATTGTCGCGCGATATATTTCGTGCTATTAACGCGTATACGGAGATTTAATCATTCTTACAAATAGTTACAAACTGGTTGAAGAAAGCTTATTTGCCGTAATTGGTTTGTTATTAGGGGCGAAACTTATCACTTTGTACTTCATATATGGCGTGTGGGGGGATGATTGTTCCGACTGCCCTTGAACTGGTCACGAACAGTTTTTCGGTAAATGAATTATTGACAAACTGCATTTTAGACTGATACCATCAAATTTTACTGTCAAAATTTGAGTCGTCTAGGCAATAAATAGAACCAATAAGCTTGGGAGCGGCGTAGTGAATTGCATGCGTGCAACTTTAAAACATGCGCATTTAAAACAATTCCTCACTTTGATGCGAAACGCATCAGTTTGATTTTTAGCTGCAAATGTGAGAAAACTAAATCACTACTAATTGCACTAACAGTTGCATGTTAAGCGGCACGAATTCAAGTAGGCCAGTCCCCATTTGGTTTGCCCCGTTTCAATTTGCAATGATTTTGTTAGCGCTGGATCTATGGACACATTTAAAAATTTCGCGTTACTTTTTCAGCATCACATATAAAACGAGCAGTATAGATAGACTCGTGCCAGGTTGAGATATTGGTGTTGGAACCTACAAAGATTCACAGGTTGATCCCTTGAGTAAGTAAACATTCTTCTAGAAATTGGTTTGTTTAAAAAACACTTGAAAGTATATATTCTTTACTTTCTACCTTCGAAAATCGGTGCAAAAAAGGCTGCATCTTGTAGTGATTAAGACTGTTGATATATCAGCTCTGGATGGTTACAGATATAAGTTTGTTTTGAGGTGTCAAACTATCTTCAAACTAGCAGGTCAAGTTTTTTAGTTATCCAACTCGAAGCTGATTTTTTCTGCATTTGTTGGGAAAGTGCACCTTCGCGTATATCAAAAAATATGCTAACACCTGGGACTTGAACACGTGGAAGGAAAATAAGTGGAAGGACCTAAGAAGGAAAATAAGAGCTATAAGCAGCTTAATCAGGGTTGTAGAGAAAGGAAAAAAGAAAGAGGGCAAAGAAGATAATTGAGAAAAAATTAATAATCAAAAAGGATTTTTTTTATTTACAAGGCTTTCAAAGCTTACACTTTAGGATGCGAAACCAAAACCTGACTTGGCCTCTATCTTCCGGTCTGCCACGGAATGACAATTGTTTTTGTCGTTGAATAGTAATCGAAAACTCACGACAGCCAAAAAAAGGAATTTAGGTATGAAAATGATATGATCATAATAACCTGAGATTTTTAACCAATTGAAAAATATGAAAGCACGGAGCTCAAAGTATTATATGCATATGTCATTAACCAGTAATCAGTTTTCGTTTGATGGAGTGTGAAATTATCAATTGGCAACAATTAGAGCACAGATTATTTCGTTCTATTAACGCGTTCACGGCGGAGCAATCCGGCCCAGAAGGCGTTCCAAACCCATTTAATGCCACATTTTGGTCTAATCAGTATTAAATCAGATGATAAAATAGTTATTTTGTGTTTAACATAGCTTTCTCGATTGAAAGCTTTTGTGATTTAAGGTTTTTAAAGCCAAAACTAATTAGTCAACACAAAAATCACAAATTATAAAACAAACAACTTGCCTGAAACACTTCAATAGTAACTTAAGAAATTTTTTTTACGCATAGTACATCGCTCCCTAAAGAACCAGACCGCATTTCTTTTCCGCCGGCACAGGAATGTCTGGGCGAAACATGAGTTTTCTAAGTACAGAGATATTCCTTTCTTCGACGAAATTGGTCTTTGACAAAATTCCTCAAAAAATTGGTTCTGTAATTTCATTCAAGGTGTACCACATAGCCATAGACCAGTCGAATCGAGACGAAAAATTCCAAACATTAATTTGCAATTTCAAAGCGCGTATGGTCGAGTGGCAAATTCATTGGCTTCAAGATCAAAATGTCGGAGGGCTAAATCTCACGCCAGAATATTTTTGGCAAATTGGTCAAAATTTCGAAATAAAAAAAACTCAAAACCGTTGTGCAACTTTGAAATGGATTCTTTCGATTGGATTGAAAAAGTAGAATGTTAAAAAGATTACATCGGTATTTTTGCTCGTTTTAAATTGAAATTCTAGTTCTAGTCCAAATTGAAATTTTATCGAAAAAATTCAAGTTTCATTGAAATTTTTTGAGGTGCTATACAAACTTTTGGGAATAGACTGAACTTTGATGATTTTTGGATATTGCTGCAGCAGTTTTTTAGTAAAATGGAAGTTTCACTCGGGTCGTAGGCTGCAATTAAATTTAAACGGTTTTTATCAAATGTCACAATTCGGTTTTGAGTTTAGAGGTACTTTTTAACCGCCACACAATTTTTTAAATTAATATTTTGGCAACTCTCTGTTCATCCTGAAACTTGCCGATGCATTTTGGAAATGCTGGATGCGTTGCGTTCACCAGTTAACTAAAATTTTTGTTCCAACCTTCAACAAATCTATTGGCTCTCGGACACCCGGTTTGAACACGTCGGTAGCAACTCCAGTTGTCACTGTTGAATCTGAGTTTTTGACATGCTCCAATTGCCGCCGAGAGCAGACCAATATAGTTATCCTCAAATTAAATGAAGGTCGGGGTGGATTGTTGTAGGTCATTTTTTCTGAAGAATTTCAATGTAATGTCTATGTTGAAACAGTTCAAAGTCAAATGGGTTTTTCTTCTTTGTCAGGAAGCAATGCATATACAATGGTGATCAGAAATCTTTTGACTGATGCCTGTGTTGTGTACATCTAAAAAGAAACATTCAGCACTGCTGAAAATAGCATGTTTTTAACGGTCATGATGTCTTTTCTAGATATACACTACACGCGCTCAATTTGAAAGAGTTCTGATCACCATCTTTTTCGCGTTGCTTCTTGACAAGGAAGATGAATCCAATCAATTTCTTAACTGCTTCGACATAGACCGTGACTTAAAGCCTTCCAGCAGAGGAAATGCCCAAAACCCATCCCCCGACCTTCAATTAAATTGAGGATAACTATATTGGCATGGTCTCGGCTGCAATTGGAGCATGTCAG